TTCACTTTCTAATTGTATTCAAACGGAAACACACTGAAGAGAAGAAGAAAAATACTTCTGCCATTTCAACTATCTTGCGGTGGCAGGTGTTACCTAGTGGTAGATTCAACAGCCCAATGTCGTCCACACAACTACGACTAGTCGTAGTTCTGAACAGTAGGCTAGACTGACTTGGAGTTCTTTTGCTCAATTGCTTGTGCTCTTCATATACACTAGCTAACCATATACTAGCCACAAGAACAGGCATATGTAACAACGTAATCAACAGGCTATTGGACGGGTAATCTGAGAAGACTAATCGTTAGTAACTTGTCCAGTGTGTCATTCCATGGCTGGTGGCATTGAAATTTGCACACAATATCTTGTGAATATGTGTCGAACAACGTAGCCGCTCAGCCATGGCGGCTTGGATAATACACCGGAACATGCCTATGATTTGTTGCTCAATCAACGAAAATCATTTGGTTATTCATTAGTTGTGTTGTAAACACTGGAATGACAGGTGTCGTTCATGACAATACACAAGTTCCGATTGTTTATATAGATAGTATCGAATTAGCAATGGGTCTCGATCATCGATTGAGTTATATGTAAAAATTCATTTTTTATTTACCATCGTCCTATTCGACATGTACCGATCAAGTCTCCCGTTCCATGCAAGCCATGTTTGACCATTACAATGGGGCTGATTATGACTACTCGGAAACACTGTGCTAAACAATATGTACTCAAGTATATCGGTATGACGAAGAAATCGATAGTCAGAAAATCCAATCTAGAAATGAATTCTACATGATATCAAGATATTCGTCGAAAATTTCTCGATCCCATTGGCAACAGACTAGTCAACTGAATGGCGTCAACATGTTCGAGTAAATTTTCTTGCCATCGAATTGATTCGTGAATCAACGACGAATGAACATTATGAATAAGTAGACACGACCAGTGCAGTCGATCTTCTCTCTAATGTCGATGGTCAAACAAATCTTTGGATTGGTATCAGTTTCCTTTCCTTGGTCGAAGTAGTAGAGATGTTCTATCAATTAGTTCGTCATCAATTTCTTGTCGTTCTACGTGCACTACGTAAGCCAGCAACAATTAAGTCAGAATAGATTGAACACTGATAGACTTGTCATAGCTGTTTACTCTTCACTGTTCTCGATATTTATATACATACGGATGCATTGACCAGACTCTCATATAGCATGTATCAGATTGACTAGTTACTAGTGAGTTGTATTAACATATATCTCGCTTCAAATAATCCAAGTCTGCTTCTCAATGAACTAGTTTGCATGCATCTGTATTTTGATACTCATTCCTTTTGGAATCTAACAACTTCGGCTCTATTTTTTACAATGATACAAATCGAATAATAACAATGTATCATATGTTCTGTTGATCATTGTGGATGAAAAACAATACTGTTTTTTTCAAAAAAAAACGATAACCCCATATTACTAAGTCAAATTAGGAATCTTGTTATATATTCGGATTGATTATGAAAAGCTCCACCAGAATCCGGATGAAATTCAAAACTTCTCATGTACTTACATAATGTCTACTTCATTGTATGTGATACACAAGAATATATAGATATATGAAAAAATCGGATAGTTCGTAAAGATTGCATGACCAACTCGATAGAACATATAAGTCGTTCTACAAACTATACTAATGAATTTTCGATATATCTTCAACTTCGGAGGGAACAATTATCAAAATACATTTATATGTATTTTTTCTCTTCCAGTGAATATATATTTAGCTGTAATTTTGCTAACTTCGAAGAGAAATAGATTTTGGTATTCATCGCATTAAACTTCTTCCTGCTAAATTCGTTATACATTAATTTGACTTCTCTATTTACTTGTCTTTTTTTTTAAATTCTTGCTATAAAAATACTACTCATTGTATATTTCACATTTTATAGATAGAAAGAAACTGAGTGACCTAATACATAGATACACTTTATCGGAAGATTAGGTATGCGCTCAATATTTAGAGTTTCTAAAAATTCATTATCTTCACATAAACAATTGAATACTATATGAAAAATCGATTCATGTTTACAAATTATATCATTGTTTGATTTTGTTAATGGAAAATAAAACTATATTTCAATAATATGGTTGCATCTGACGCATCCATCAACTACCAATTAGTAAAGCGACAATAAAAAATCTGAACGCACTAGTTATGGTTTTCTTTATTTAATTTCTTGAGTTATACATAAATTTTGTGTCGAAAACATGAATAATTCCGCTAAGATAATAGAATAAAGAAATTTAGATGAAACCTTCTAAGCAGGTTTTGTGATTTACTTTGCTGTATTTTATCAAAAATGCTAATATTTCTTTCATCAAGCTGTAGAATACAAAAAAACAAATTTGTCGTATCTAAATACTCATGCTTAAAGTTTCTAAAGCGATGTTAAATATAATCATTGATCCACTTAAAGCAATTCTTGCATCAAACGAATGAAATTCCTACAGTTATTCTCTTGTTGCATACATCTAATTTAATTATTAGCAGTATGTGTAAAATCGGTTTACAACCCTTCATTTGCTCCTTTTGAATGATAAATATAAATATATTTCTATGTTCCTTCTTTTCTTTATTCTGCGTCACTTGTGATGCTCTATTGTCATCAGTGCCCATTAAAAGATATGTCTATTAAACGATACAGATGATAAATTATGATAGTAAAATACTTATTTTATTTCGCATTAAAAAACAAACAACATATGTCAATAAAAAAAACTGGTACAAATGGTTTTTAGCATTTTTTATTGCATCACTAGTTTTTGCATATACAAAACAAAATTATAATTCCAACCAAACCTCCACAACCACAGCCAACACCAATATACACTTTTGTATAACTATAATGGCTGGTTACAATAGCAGCTGTAGTTCTCCGTGGTTCATTCCATTTTCCACCAATAATAGCTTTCGATTCATTTTGATCAAGAATAACTGAAGACAAATTGTGGTTCACGAAAGGTATGGCATTTACCCGCAGATACACTAATAAAAATTAAAAAGTTTTTATTTCTAAAATAATATAGTAGTAATGTATGTATACTTTACTCAATATAAAACAGCAAAGAAAGGCCAATTTTACAAAGTATGGCATTATGGCAAGATTCTGTGAGCAGTTTTATTATATGTCGTATAAAGTATATACAACTCTTATATAGCCTTATAGCTTGGTTTTTTCCCCAGTTATCAAACAAGATCATCACTTTGAGTATTATATCATATCTATGCGTGTCAGTAATGATGACAACCATAGATACAGTTTGAAAATGTTTTTTGACAGTCAACATAACAACCAATTTTCCAACATTAGCCTACAATTTCACATCACAAAATATGAGTGTAAAAGTCAATAATGTTGATATAATTAAATCTTCTTGTAAAAGTCATTTCTTCTAACATATTACGTTGGAAGAAGCCAAAACTTTTGATATATTTTCGATTCAAATGAAGAGAATTTTATGTCGATTACTAATATTATATCAACAAAATTCAAACGAAATTACATAGAGTGATCTTTCTAACTTGGATACTTCAGCTTTTCGTACTTTTATCAGCTCACGGAAGTTGATATACTTATCAATTTTTTTCTCTCTATATCAACAGTGTTTACCAAAAGAAAGAGTAGCAAATCATAAAGATTCTTGACGCAAGATGTATCGATAATTACGAAATTTATATTTCATAACACGAGAAAATTTCTTGGAAATCAATTGCATAACTTTGAAAAGCACTATGTATTTAATAGACTCATACATACATTGACATTTATCTGGCATTAAGTACTTTAAAAACTATCTGACAAATGTTATAAAAATGATGATTTTTTGAAAATTTAAAATTTTTCATTATTCGTTTTTTCTATAGATAGCGCATGTTATCAATAGAAAGTTAGGATAAAATTTTTAATTTGATTCGTCAATCTATAAAACACTAAGATTGTTTGATCGCATGAATGAATGCACGAGACAACATTTAATTTATTTTGAAAATGTATAATAAATAATTAATATATAAAACATTATTGATGATAAAACTAAAAATTCTTGTCAGTGTCAGATGATCATATTAATAAATCTAAGCGTTATCTTTAATAAAAAAAAATTGATTAAATACGATAAGTATGTTGTTTCATGCTTTGTTTTTTCGTCTTTATCAATAACAATAAATATTCCTTTCTTTCTCTAGAGTAATCACATTTTACGAAATGATTTGTAATGATGATGATTGCATTTTATGTTCGAATGACAAAGAATGTTACTTGTTGATTATTTTGTTTTTTTTTTACGCAAACAAACAAACAAACACTCAAAAATGAAACAAGATTTATCTTATCTCTCCAATACACTTATTTTAATACTTCTAGATTTCTAAATGACTTCAGTAAATTTTGCTAAAGGTAAAATCTACGGTGTATTACGAGCATGTGTGATTGCTGATAATGGTGAAAATCATTCACATAAAACCGGTGAAAGTCATTATAATTTATTATCTGTTGATAATGGACAAAGTCAAACACCAGAACAATATCAAATTAATATAGATATTCAATCACTTCCATCGGCTAATGTTAAATGTATTTCAATCGATCCATTTATAAGTTCATCAATAGCATTTTCTACTATTCCTTTTGGTTTTACACCATTAGAATCCAATGATAGTGATACATTAGCATTAGATTTTATACGACGACCTATATTTGATTTAAATCTTCTTGTTCAATCTCAAGCATTAACTGCTGATGAAATCGCAGATAAACTTGATGTTTATTTAAAATATGATAAACCAAATGTAATTGTATTTGGAACAAAATATGATGATCAACATATTTTAGAAGATAATCATTATGGAATGCAACGTACAATCAAAGAAAATAAACCACCACGTGGTATAGATGATATTCATATGAATCAAATTGTTGGTAAAGATGGTCATGCTTATCAAGATGGAGCTTTATTTATTCAAAAAGATAATCAAGATAATACCTATGCTGCTTTCTTTTTCTGTTTTGATAATCAGTGTCAATCAGAAGAATTATCAAAATAAATTTGTTTTTTTCATCATTACAGGATAATAAATAATCTTAGACATAAAGACAAACAAACATTAGCACAAAAAAGAATACGAGTATGATGAATGATGCAGAATGTGATCAAATATCTCTTAGAGATTCAACAAGCCCACGTGTTTTCGTCTTCACTTAATATTCTGTCAATTTAATATTTTTCAAAAATTCTTCATCATAATTATTGATTTTGAATAAATAAAAATAATATCGTTCTTTTTCTATATTGTCTATTCAATTTTCTACAAGAGAATTTAATATTTATTCATACAAATATGTCTCATTTGATAACATAGGGAAAAAGTTTATTTCCGCGATGAATTATTTGATTCTATGCTAATGAGATTTTGTGAAAACAATTCCATACAGATTATGAATATCTTTATTGGAAGCAAAAAATCATCAATACACTATTATTAAGGTTATATAAGATCTTTCTGTTTAAATTCATCGAATAATATTATGAAAAAAGCATTATTGAATGAAATATCCATCATGAAATCGTTAGTTATTAATAAACCTACTGTTCTACACCTTGTGATGTATTGATGGTAGAAATTTGTGTGAAGACAATAAGAAATTCATCGAAAGATAATAAAGAATCTTTTAGAAATATAATATAAAATTAATAAATAATATGAGAAATCTAATACCTTTATCATGATCAGCAAATTCAATCATTTCTTTTGCTTCTCGATCAGTAATAGAAAATCCCAAAATATTCATAACTACAGATAGTTCATTAGCATCAATCATACCATCTATATCAAATATGATTAAATAGTAAAAAACAAAAGATGGGATAAATATACCTTTATTTAAATCAAAACATTCAAAAGCAACTTTAAGATCAAGTCGTCGAAAAGCCTCTTCTTCTCTATGTAATTTTTCTTCATATTCAAGTACCAGTAATGCATAATGTTCATAATCTAGTAAACTAGAAAATGTACCATTTGGTTCAATCAATTCATGTTCAATTAAAAAATCTTGATAACTAATATCTTTTTGAGGATCATGACCAAGTGCTAATAATGCATCATTTAAATGTTCGACAGACACTAAAATTCTTATATTTAAGAAAAATGAATATTTTCATCTTACTTGATTGAGAATTACTAATGGTAGTAAAGACATGACGCATTAGTTTGATTTTATCAGGTGCAATTTGTCGTTTTTGTTTTGATGATTGTATTAGTTTTTGTGATTTTTTAAGGAGAACTCCATTACTTGTACGAATTTGTGTATTTGATGATGTTATTTGCATTGGTTTATTATCGTTGAAGATATATCGATCAGATGGACGTATTGTAGAATCATTGCTTTGTCTATTTTGTATATGTGACTGACTATTTGTTCGTTTAATCGACATTGACTCATATGTAAGTAGTAACACTTTAATTAACTCTCAAGATTGTAAAAGACACTAGCAAATACTTTTTTCACACGATATACTTGAAAAGAAATTTGAAACAAATGAAAGATTGAATTTATATACATATCTAAAGATTTTTGAATCGACAAATGTGCAGATATGCATTATCAATAAACTCTTCACCTAAAACTCACACTGACTACATTGGATCGATGTTCACTGATTTATCTGACATAACCCTAATGTATGGATGTATCAATGCTTCAATGAACACCGATCCAGTGTAGTCAGGATTGCAATAGACTCACTGTCAGTATTTTCACCGATACTACATGATCTTAGATAAGTGAAATATTTTATGATGATCTAACATGTTATATTAATTTATTTTACTGGATAACAATAAAAATATTACTCTGTGAAACAGTATCTCTCAGAATAGATGATATTGATTTAAATTCTTTGCAATCATTTTTTTTTATAATGAAATAAAATCAAACGTGATATTGCTAATCAGAAAAGTATGGATTCATAGCAATACGTCTGTTGGGATCGAGTATACCGTATTATCGGTTAGTTGAAATAACTTCATGATTTTCCTATGGTTGATATGTATTAAACGAGTGTATTTTATTATGATTTGAAAAAAATGTAGAACTGATGGAAATGTTTATTTATTACAGTATGAGAAGAACAAGTTTTACAGAAAAAACATCGATGCCAATGCTTGAGAAACTGTTATTACTATTTATCCAGAACGAAGTAGCAATAATGCAAACTCTTTTATGATTATTAACTATAGTATAAAAACTATCTATGAGCAAATCAGAAGTTCAAATGAAAGATATCAGTACTATGAGTATTCTTGTTAGGAAAAACTAAAAACACAGCCAATAAATTTGAATTATGATGTATAGGCTACATCATGCATGTATCTAGTAAACCATCACAATATTCTCATTAAATTCTTCACATTTCGTATTGGTAAACACCGACAGTCTATAAAATACTATAGAATACTTTTCTCATTAAAAGTTAAAACTTGGAAATGCACAGTAAATCACTTCATTCTTATCACATGGTTTGTCTGCTCGAAGTAGAGAAGACAAAAATGAATAGCACTTGCTGTTAAATAAAATGATTTTCTGTTCTATAAAAAAAAACCTTTTATGTGTTTTGTTCATTAGTATTTATTAGTAAAGAATATACTTTTGCTTTTTGTTTAGAAGAATTTCTTTTAGAGACCTATATCAAACATGAATTTTATAAATTTGTCGTCGGATTTTTCTACTTGTAATTTAATTCTAGCTGAAATCTATTATAATTACAGAACGTTGATAGGATAGAAACGATCTATATGAATAACTTTAAATGAAAAACATGAAATGCATGAAGATCTTTAGTCAGTATGAGTGAATAAGCTGAGAATGAATGCACTTCAATGGAACGCAACAAAGCTAATTGGAGTGTCATATCGGTCATATTGTTTTACAGTCTGTTGAAGAGCTTCCCGTGTTGATGTCATCTATTTATATATACACTTACTTTTTTTTGAACCATTCTTCATGTATGAATTTGTTATCAGGAAAAAAAATATATCATTTATTGGAGACATTTCATGAATAAGATGCAGTACTTATTGAGCAAAAGCTCTTACTACAATAATAAAAACTTTTTCATCGATAATTTTAGTAAATAAATCGATGCAATGATCTATTTGAATAAAGTTATTAATAGGTTTAATGATGCTTCGAAATTGTACTATATTACTTTGACAATTTTCTTTATATTAGTCAACATTAGGAGAAAACTACAAATAGTTAGTCACATAAGATGAATGTTATGTAACTGAGTTGTTTTGCTTCTAGCAACGTTCTTAGATGAAACAAATGTTTGCTTAGTTCTTTTTCTTTTCATTTATGATATGTTCTTCTTATCCAACTAATGATAGATGATTGAATATTTAAGTCTTTTCATCATGTCACATCCAATCATAGTTTAATATTGTTATTACTTATGTAATAACTTCGCTTTGTAGCACGAAATTTAGATAAAAGAAAAAAGTCGATACGATTTGCATATTTTAGTCTAACTAAAATAGAGAGATTTCATTGACCATAATTAATCAAATATATATTACAATTCTAAATAATAATAAAAATACTGTCTAAATATGTGTCCATGAATAGATCAATCGATTCATTCAGGATAGCTTTAAAGAATTAATCAGTTTCCAAAGGAATATTTGTAGTATACATATTAATTCACATGATTATATTCAACATAAAGCCATTATTAATGAAATGGACAATTACAAGTAATATTAATCTGTATATCATTTATTTATCATTAGCAAGTTTTGGTGAGAATGTAGTTGATTATAAAAACAAAAACACTTGAATGAATGAATTTCAATGTATTTTGTATAATTGATGAAAAAATAAACTCAACTTTTGTAAATAACATCGATTTTCAACTGAATCTTCAACTATTACAAAGCTGATTTTAATTTTCCTATGATAGTAAAAACTAGACAGTCTTTGACTAACAAAAAGAATCTTATCTGTCTTTACATATATGAAGCCTCTTTTTACAAAAAAATTATTAGAATGAAGTAGCCAATTGCGTTTTAGTAAATACCATCGAAATCAAAATGATAACTTTTTTTTTCTTTCAAGCACATATTTATTCAAAACTAAATCTTGTTCTCTTTAATAAAACAATAAGTTTTTTTCTTGTTGAATATTTGTAACATTCAATTCGATTCATGATGTTTACTCTCATTGATATAAAAAAAGTAAGAAATATTAAACTGGCATTGTAAAATATTTGCCTGTATTTATATGGAATCTTTTTGATAGGTTAGAAGCAAGATTTGGTACAAAATCAATCTATAGAAATTTTGTTGAAAAAACTCAGATCTACGAAAGTCACAAAATAAAAATGTGTTACAGTGTAATCACAATGAAATGCTTGATACGAACATAGTTCAAGCCGGCTGGAATACATTAGCAATTATATAATATATACTATTTCACGGCACATAACTATTGGTACGATCGACTTTTAGATCCAGCACATTTACGTAGTATCAAAAATCATATCAAGAAAAAGTTATCGTGGAAAAAGTTGAGATATTTTTTTAAAATTTTATTTCATACATTTTCAAATTTATTAGGTCGATATGATAATAATGATGATTTTGCCTGAAAAAAAACAAAACACATCGATTACTTTCAATTCAATTTTCATCATCGAAGAACACAATAAAGGAAAAATAAATAATGTCAAAACTATATCATAATTAAGAAAATGAATCATTCTAATATGAACTTCCTCAAACGTTCCTTCCAATTTCAATGATTTTTTGACTATAGGTACTGCATAGTGGTCTAATACAAATTATAAAAAGATCTGGGATTCTATTAAGATTTAACCAAACTATCGAACTCTTAATATGTCTATTTTCTAGCGACAACAGATTTTCGGAAAATTGATATTTTTGAATTTTGATCTAAAACTTTGCGCATATCAAGGACTTAATTCGACTAGATTCCATCAAAAAAATTCAGAAGTTTTGAACAAAGTCTCTTCAAGATATGAAACTTT